GACCTGGTAATTCACGGCTTCGCCCACGCCGTCTAACTGAGCCGCAGCGCTCGCACGCGATGTCCCGCCGCGGCCCGGCGGCCGCGAGACGCGGCGGCGCGGGGTCGGGGCCCCGGGGGCGGCGAGGAGGGCGAGCCGGGCGCGTGGAGCCGCGCTCACGCCGTGTCCCCGCTTTGTCTCCCTTCCCGCGCGCCGGGCGGCCCGCAGCGTGCAAGCGCAAGGAGCAGGAGCAGCAGAAGGAGCGCGCGCTTCAGCCCAAGAAGCAGCGCCTGGTGTTCACCGACCTGCAGCGGCGCACGCTCATCGCCATCTTCAAGGAGAACAAGCGGCCGTCCAAGGAGATGCAGGTCACCATCTCGCAGCAGCTCGGCCTGGAGCTCAACACCGTCAGCAACTTCTTCATGAACGCGCGGCGCCGCTGCATGAACCGCTGGGCCGAGGAGCCGGGCGCCGCCCCCGCGGGCCCCGCCGGCGCCGCCGCCACCTTCTCCAAGGCCTGAGCCCTCGCGCCCCCCCGCCCCGCCCCGCCCCGCCGGCCCGGTCCCGCCCCGGGGGGGGGCGCTGGCGGGGTGCAGCCCGTCCCCCCCAGCCCAGTGCACAAGAAGGGCCCCTCCTCCCCACCCCGTCCCCTCCAGGCCAAAGGGAGCCCTCCGCCCCCCAGAGGGGAGGGGGTGGCAGAAGGGGCTCCCCGCCTCCCTCCGTTCAGGACGCCCAGAGGGCCTCGGGCAAAAGCAGGGCTCCCGCGTCGTCCCCGAAAGCGGGTCAAGAAGCACATACTAGAAATATAAACCGGGTATTAGAAGGAATTTTGAGAATAACCCCTCCTTCGCCAGCCCCCGCCCCCACGGAGGGAGGCCGGAGGAGCCCTCCTCCCCAGCGGTCCCCCTCTTCCAAAGTCGCCAAAAACCCCCGTCGGGCTGGGGGTCCTTGCAGCGCCCCACCCGCACCAAGACCAGCCCCCTCCGCCGGCAGAACCGCCCCACAGCCGAGAACCCAGCTGCCCCCCGGCCACCAGGGTTCCTTGTGCCAAGAATCGCCTGCCTTAACGTCTGGGGAGGGGTCGCAGCGGAGCCGGCCGGCGCCCCCAGGCGGGCAGCCTCCCCCAGCCCGCCCCAGACTGGAGGGGGCGGCAAGCTCGAACATGCGGGTACATTCCAGACGCCTCCTTCCCGGCGCCCCCTGTCAGTTCACTTTACCTTTAGGCACCTTGATGACACACAGGGAGAGACAGACCCCGGGAAACAGAAAAAACAAACCCAAAAAACCATCCAGATTCCACGAGGAGAAACCAGCACAGAGAGAGCGTGGGAGCCCACCCGGAATCCCTGCGTGCTGGGGCCATGGCGTGGCCACCTGCGTGGAACCTTCTGGAACTCACCCACCACCTCCCAGCGCTCAGGGCTGCCGCGCTGGGCCTGAAGGGGAGGCAGGGGGCGAGCCTGTGCTTGCAACTCTCTCTCCAAAGGGATAAAGAAGATGCTGAAGAAGGTGGAATATGCTTGCTCCATTTTTTGCCAAAAAAATTGACGAGGGAGTAGGAAGGGTCAGAAATGAAGATGAGCACCCCCCACACCCCCCTGCTCGTCTCTCTTCCCTTCCTGGTGACCTCCAAGGTGACCTCCAAGGCTGGCCGGCAGCTGGATCCTGAGAAACCCCCCCCCCCCACGGTTCAAGATCTGGAGGCTAGAAGGAAACTCACCCCCCCAAACCCCGCCCATCCACTGCCTCCCAGGGAGGTAGTCACCCCCTCCCTCCTTGAGAATGCAAAAGACATTTCTAGTGAAATGCCCCTCCCCCTCCCCCAGGTAAAGGCTACCTCACTCAAACGTTCTTGTCTGTGATTGGATAAATCACGCCTGATACCAAAGATTCCCCCCAAGGACCTGTGCTGGATGCTGGAATTCCCTCGCCTGGGACCAGGTGTGGCCCAGGGCCTGCCCGGCCCTGCCCTCCAGGTGTGCCCTGCTCCTCAGCAACGACAGAGAGAGAGAGACAGAGAGAGAGAGACAGAGAGAGAGAGGGAAGGAGGGAGAAGAGAGAGAGAGAGGAGGGAGGGGTGGGAGGGACAGAGAGAGTGAGAGAGAGAGGGAGAGAGGAAGAGAGAGACAGGGAGAGAGAGAGGGAGAAGTGAAGGAGAGGGAGGGAGAGAGGATACTGAGGTCGATGAGTGCCTTTTTCTGGAACCAAAGATGTGTGTGAAATGTTCTCTTGTCCTTATCGACTCGCTATTCTCCCAGCTTTTTAAGCAACCAATCTGAGTGATGCTTCTAGAACCTTTGGGTGTTGGGGCAGAATCCTAAGAGTTCCTGTTCCCGCTCAGCAACCAACCCCCCCCACCCCCACACACACGCCCTGCTGTCCTTTCTGGGGTGGTCCTGGGCGCTGGAGTCTGGGTGGCCAGACCCCTTCCTTCCACCTCTCACTGTCACGTGGTCCCATTGGACAGGGTGCCTGCTTGCAGGGGACAGGGCTTCTGGGACACCCCGTGCTGGGTAAGTCACTTGCTCTTCCCAGCATTTAAGGTCCAAGGATCAGAGACCAGAGGTCTCTGTTCTGTCCCCTGATGGATAGTTAGGAATTGGCTTGGGACCGTTCTGGTTGTGGAACTTTCTAGCTATGGTGACCTGCGACCAGATCGGGTCAAGCACGACCAGCCCGGGTCACAGAGGCATCCCTGGATTCCGGGGTCCCTTTCAAACACTCACACACACACACACCAGCTCCAGTCCAGCCCTTCCAGGGGCCCTGACCCCCAGGCCCCCCCAGTGCCCCCCAGCGCCCCCCCCGGCCCCACCCCGCTCTCCCTGACACCCAGCTGGTTGTCACATACCAAAGACCATTCTCCACGCAGGGAATGACACCTCCAGCACAGCGCTCCTTCGAGCCTTTGACAATTTTCTCTGAAATACCTCAAAATATTTAATGTATAGTTTATGTGATAAAAAAAAATCCTTAGCTAGTTTTTGGAATACGTGACTTGAAGCTTTATACCGTTAAATTATAATTTTGCAGATGATGGTATGTCATTTCTTTGAAGAGTTCCGTGGGAGACATATTGAATGTCAGGGCAGTGACACCGGGTGGTCAGAGGCCAAGGGCACGGCAGCGGGGGCGAGAGGTGGGGAGCGCGGGACCGGCGTTTACAGATTTCTTACTCAAACGAGTCCTTTAGGAAAGACAGGAAGAGAGAGAGAATGTACCTTTCTGTTCTCTGGCGTGTTCTGTTCCTCGTTTTTTGGAGTCATGTCTTATAAGAGTATTTATTATTCTATGTGTTCTGTGTTCAAATGTAATTTAAGAAAAAAAAGTAAGAAAAATCAAAAAAAAAAAAGACAATGGAATTTGATTTGATGCATGACTAATGTACTAGGTGGGTGGGGTGGGGGGTGGGGTGGGACAGGCCGGGTCAGAGCCCCGGGGTTCCGTGTCGCATGGTTGTGTTTCATGCCTGAGTTCCGTCGGTGCTCCTTCTCCCTGCTCTGTGTTCCTTCCCCCGCTTTCTAAGGATCTGTGTCCGGCGGCGGGAGGGGGATGAGGCCTCCGGCTGCCAGGAAGGTGGAGGAGGCCGCAGGGCCTCCGCACCCAGACCCAGACCCAGACTCCGCACCCAGACCCCCCGGTGCCCACACACCACCTGCCTGTGCCAACCGGGTGGGGGATCCTGGGCCTCCTGCTCCTGGTTCTTGGGTGCAAGTGGGTGTCGCTGCCACCTCGGACCCTCCACCCCCACCCAGCTGGTTTCACACGAGCATGAATTCCCAAGTGTCTTGTTCAGAGGAGAGAGACAATCAGCCAATTCGAGTCTTGTCGCCCAGGGTGGTGGGGGCCAGGGTGTACCCCAACTTCCCGAGATCCCAAGGGTCCTCCTGAGACACCCCCATCCCCAGGCAGGCACTCAGCCAGGCTCCACCCATACCCTCAGCCTCCCTGGCCCTGGGCTGGATGTGAGTTACCCTTTGGCCTGGGATGTGGGGGGGGGGTGCACATCTGTGGAGCCCTCCCTCCCAGCCCATGTCAGGACCCTAGAGAACAGAGAGCTCCCCAAAACTATCCATGAAAGGGGGCTCTGGGGCAGTATCCCCACCTCTGACTGCACTTCTGCTGAGCTCCCACTAGTGGGAGCTTCCAAGACTGGCCCCAGGAAGGGGGGGGTTGGGGTAGTAGAAGGAGCCCCTCACCCTTAAGGAAGGAGGACCCAGACTGGAGGGCGGGTGGGGGGAGGGGAGGGGGGAGGCATGTTCCAGGACCTCCCCCCCCCCATCCAGCCCAGCACTGCCTGGGATTTGGGCCATTCCACTTCTGGAACCAAAGCAGTGTGAGCCGCACCAGCCCCCCCAGACCCCTGGGCTCCCTGCTGTGGCCCTGGCATGCCCCCCAAGGGCTGGTCTTTGGGGGGATTCTCTGCAGCCAGGGATGAGGGAGGGCCACGTCACCGTGTGGCCCTGAGTGTTTAACCAAGACTAAACACTAGGGCTGCTTTCTGGGGAGACACCCCTCCCAAATGCTAGAGGGCACAGAAGCCCTCGCCTTCCCACCCTCAGGTGACAGGCTTAAAAGTTAAAAAAAAAAAAAAAATCGTCATTGTTAACCATTGCTGTGCTGGATTTGTTTTGTTTTTCTCCAATAAATTATTTTCTACTCATTCACCTGGACTTGTGTGCTGGCGGAAGGGGGGCGGGGCAGGGGGGCAGGAATGGGGCGCCGGGAGGCGAGGGGAGTCGCCTGGAGCGGAAGGTGGCTCCTTTGAGGCGAAGCCACCGGGCAGCGTGGTTGGGGACGAGGCTGCAGGGCCCAGGGCTGGACCTGACCTCGTGCCCCGGGAGGGCCCCCGGGAGACCCCGGGAGCCGGCGCGGGCTGGAGAAGGGCTGGGGGCCGGGCCGGGGGCTCTTCCTGCAAATCCCCCGCCCGGTCACTAGAGGTCAGTGTGTGGGTTTCTAAAGCGAGGGCAGCCCTAGTTTGGGAAAGAAGGAGCCTCGAGGAGCCCGGGCGGAAGGCGGACCCTGGTTTATTCGCCAAAGAAGAGGACGCCGAGCCTCGTCTTCCGGGGGCGCCCCGTGCGAGCAGGTGCACGGCCCCGGGGCACCGGCGGCCGCTACAGGGACCACAGCCTCCTCCCCGGGCGGGAGGGCGCGTCCGCCGAGGACGCTCCCGGGGCGGGGGGTGCGGGCGGCCCCACGGCCGGGAGCGCCTGGCTGCGCGGCGGCGCCGTGCCCTCCCCGGGCGGCTGCTGCCACTTCTGCCGGCCGCAGGGCCGGCTCCTCCAGGAACGGAGCGCGGCCCTCCACGCCGCCCGCTTGTCCTCCGGCGGCGCCGGCTGGCTCTGCCCCGACGGCTGGCCCCAGGGCTGCGCCGCGCTCCCCGAAGGCAGCGGCTCCCGGAGGGACCCGGACGGCCAGTTCTCGGGGGCAGCCGGGCGTTGGACGGAGGAGCACGGCCTGCCCGCCGTGGCCGTCGAGCTCACCGCGCAGACCGGCGACGTCTCCCCCGAGGCCGCCTTGCCCTGGTGCTGGTGCCTCTTCTTCCCCAGCAGGGACCGCTTCCTGGAGAACCGGAACGACTCCTGCATGCCCGGGGACAGCTCTTCTTCCGACGGGATTGTTTGGTCAGCCAGCATGTCGCTGCTGACCCCCGGCGCCTTCCGCAGAATGGTGCCCTGAGTGATGAGGTCCGCGTAGCCCTCGCGGTGGGAGAAGGCATAGCTGGAGCGCCGGCCGCGCGACCCCCGGTGCAGGTAACGCCCGGGCTCCCCCGGGATCATCTCCTCGCTCGGGGCCTCCTCCTCCTGCTGCAGAGCAGAGGAGAGCCAAGGTCACCAGGCTCCCCCGGCGCCCCGCTGGCTGCTCTCGGCTCACCTGCCCCAGCGGGCACCACTCAGAGCCCTACTTGGCCACCACCGACTGACCCTTCCCTACCGGAGTTGAGCCAATTAAGAGTCCTCTCTGAGACTGATTTTGGACCAACCCATGAGTCCTTCCCCGGGACCTAACCCCGACCAGCCACCAGGGGCCTTGGGTGCCCTCTGGTGGCAAAGCCCGGCCAGGCGCACCTGGACAGCCATGTGTCCGGGGGCGGGGCAGAAGGTGGCAGGTTTCTGGCCATGTCTTGGTCCATTATTCCAGTCAATTCTAGGGCCCATCCCAGCTGCAACCCTCCCTTCTAGATTTGGGTTTTTTCATTGTAGTAGAATACGCATAACACAAAATGTACCATATTAATCATCTCTAAGTGCACAGCTCAGCGTCATGAAGCACACTCACCCTGTCCTGCGAGCACCCCCACCCTCCGTCTCCAGAACGTTCCATCTCCCCACACGGAGACTCTGTCCCCGTGAAGCACGGACTCCCCACCCCCTGCCCCAGCCCCGGCTCCCACCCTCTCCTCTCTGTCTGTGTGGACGGGACTCCTCTGGGGACGTCCTGGGAGTGGGGTCCTGCAGGATGTGTCCTTCTGGGTCTGGCTCCTCTCGCTGAGCCCGGTATCCCCAAGGTCCCTCCACGTCGTGGCAGGTGCCGGGGTCCCTTCCTTCCTGAGGCTGGAGCGTGTTCCCGCGTGGGGATGGACCGCACTGTGTTTACCGGTTCATCCTTCAATGGACACTTGGGGTGCTTCTAAGTCCCTTCGCTTCCCTAAACCATTCCCAAATTGCTCTGTCATCTGGACCCCCAAGCCCCGAACATCTGGGGGTGGATCCTGGGGCCTGTTATTTGGTCCCCCTGAGGGCACTGGGTGTGTGCCGGGGTCTCCATTCCTCCCCCCCCCCAGGCCTGTGTCTTGGAGTTTCTGCTCCCTGCGCAGGCTCTGGCTGAGGGGGTCCCAGGAGTGTGCGATGGGGACCCCAGCCCCCTCACCTTGGGGCCTGCCTTCTTGAGGGCTTGGCAAATGACACGCAGGGCCAGTGTGGGCAGGGTATTTAGTGACACATTCAGCAGGACGACCAGCAGGATGGAGGGGTGTGACAGCACGTTACGGTCAGCATCTAGTGACGGGTCAGGGTCACAGCCCGGCCCCAGGTGGAGCCTCCCCAGAGCCTGCTGGGTGACCCCTCCTCCTGACACCCGACCTCCCACCTCTCCCTCTGCCCCCAGGACACCTTTGTGCAGATGCCCAGAAGGCTCCAACCCCCCTGCATGGCACCCCTGCACAGCTGAGAACACAGAGGCTCGGAGGGGGCACCGCGGGCACTCGGGTGTGGATACACCCCTCTCCGGGGCCCGCCACCCCGCTCCCTGCTGGGGGCTCACACAGAAATGGGAAGTTCTTGGGTGAGATTTGGAAGAGCCAGAAACTCTGGCTGGCCCAAGTTGCAACCACGTAGAAGCAGAGACTGAGGAAAATGGCCAGCACGGACAGGACCGTCCAGTACCTGATGATGAGTATGACCTGAAGAGGGGAGGGAGGATTAGGCCAGTGTGGTGCCAGGAACCCCGGGGCAGGGCTCCATGGGAGTGGGTGGGGGCTGAGTCTCCAGGGTCCACAAAGGCCACCTAAGGCCCCGTGGCAGGGTCACTGAGCGGGGACACCTCAGTGGCTCGTGTCCAAGGCCCCCCTGGGGTGCGACAGGCTGGCGGCCCTGCCTACCTCCATGGTGATGGACAGCAGGCTTGACATGGCCACAACCACAGCGAAAGACTGATAATCGCTGAAGCTGACAGGCCCGGCCAAGTCGTGGCTGACCCATAGGGTCACGAAGAAGTTGACCAGGGAGGTGACTGTGCCGTGGGCGAGGGCCTGGAGAAAGACCCAGTAGTTAAAGAGCTCGTCCTTCTGGCCTGCGATATACAGCTCAGGCAGCTCCAGGCTCCGCTCGGCACTCACGTCCTGGGGGTGGGGCATGGGGGGCAGTGGCAGGCTCTTGGAACCAGGTGGGGAGTTGGGGACAGCCCCACCCCCGTGCCAGGCCCCCCGGGGGGAACTGCAGGGCAGACATGGGAGCATCTCCAGGGAAGGAGGAGACAGGGCCTGGATCTGCTCACCTGCTCAAAGAGACCAATGTAGAGAACAGGGAGTGTGCTGTAGAACAGGTTGAAGAGGGCCAGGAACCAGCCTTCATACAGAGGCTGGTGGGGAGGAGACGGAGGGGGGACACGGTCAGCCTTCAGCCGGCCAGTGGCCAGAGAGAGAAACAAGTCTTTACCCAAGGAGACCCGCCCAAACTAGCTGGACCCCTGGGGAGGCTTCCAGGTGAGCTGGGAGGTCAAGTTATAATGAAGGTTGGCGCTAAACCAGGGTTGGGCTACATGAGGCTTGATGAAGGCTGGAAGATAAAAGGCAGAGAGGAAAAGCGGGGTCCAATTATTGCAAAACTGCACCTCTGAGTCCTTGTTTTAATGGGATGGCTTCGATGTAGAAATACAGGAGGGAAAATGGCTAGAGGATGTGGGGGGTTTGGGTCATTTTAGGTTCAGGGGGATCACTATGTGGAAGAGCCCTCATGGACAAGTAGCTCTCCTGATGATGAATCCAACCCAGTTAACAGAACATGAGCATCAGCTCTGAAAACCACCTTATGTGCATTCTGGTATTGAACAAAAAAAAGTTAAAAATAAGAAATTTTACAAGAATGAAGTTTCTCACTGTTGGAGAAAAGACTCACAAATGAGTACATGGAAAAGGCTAAGCTGAGCCTTGTCCCGTGGGACTGGAATCAGCTGGACTGCTGTGAACTCATAGTTTTTAATATACACAAACATAGAGACGAGGCTGGACAGATTCGGATAAGACAGATACAGTGTGTGTCTCTACAGGGTCAATACGTGTACACTTTGCAGCTCTTGTCAACTGAGAGAGGGATCCGCCAGCATCCCAGTCCCTGCAAGCACACCTAGCACTTAGAGCTTGGTGTCTAACTACCAAGAGCCAGGACTCCTTACAGGAATGGCTGATTCCAGAGCTGCAGCAGGGGAAATACAAAACGAGCGTGGAGCCTCCTACAGCACCAGAAAGTGGGGGTGTACTCAGAGAAGGGCAGGCACATGTCAAAGGGACAAATCAGGGACAATCTGAGCAAAAAGTATACAGTAAAATAAATACCCATGAGTCTACACCGATAGAAGTAAATACTGAATAAATAAATAGAGGAGAAGCAACAGTTCTTCCAGTTAACAAATGTGGGGGGTGGGAAACAAAACAAAACACCTAAACGCTGTCCTGCGAAGATCCAGAACAAAACAGGAAGCCTGCTTTCAACACTGTTATTCAACATTGCACTGGAAGTCCTAGCCAGAGCAATTAGGAAAGAAAAAGAAATAAATGCTATTCAAATAGAAAAGGAAGAAGTAAACCTATCTCTATTTGCAGAGGACATAATTCTATATGCAGAAAAATCCCAAAAGGATCCACAAGAAAGCTACTAGAGCCAATAAACAGATTCAGCAAAGTTACAGGGCACAGACCGGAAATCAAAAACTCACTCGTGTTTCTATACACCAGCAAGGAACAATCCCCAAAGCAAATTAAGAAAACAATTCCACTTACAGAAACATCTGAAAAATATCTATAAATAAAAAGTAAACTGAACAAACAATATATATTTATCTAGGGTGCCTCTGTAAAGCTCCCCCTCAAACCCCTGGGTTTCAGTGACAGGGAGCTCACTCCCTCTCACAGCTGGCTCTTCGCAGACGATTTCCTTCCGCAGGGAAAAATCAGTGCCTGGGACCCTTCTAAAGCTCAAGAGAGCACCTCTCATCTTCGCCATGATACTGCCTAGAGTCCCTGAGTCAGGGACCCAGCCCCCACCCTCTTCCCTTCTCTGGGCTCCTAGCTCTCCCCTCTTGCCCGCTAGAAGGATGGACATCGGCGCATCTGCCCTGCCCTCACTTCAGAGCTCCAGTTTGCCAAATATCCCTGAGAAGGGAGTGGCCGCCGCGCGGCGGAGGTTATGGAAAGCACACCTGGGCGGAGAAGCCGCTGTAGAAGGCGAACCAGATCTGGACCATCATGCAGGCCACCGTCTTGTAGATGAAGTACCGCAGGAACTTGCAGACGCGCATGTAGGCCCAGCGCCCGTGCACCAGTAGCAGCCGCTTCAGGAAGCAGAACTGGGCCAGCACGTAGTCGCTGTTCTGCACCGCCTGCGTGCCCTCCTGACCCGCCAGCCCCACGCCGATGTCCGCAGCTGCGGGGGACACGCAGCCTGTCAGCCCGGGGCGCCCCCAGCCAGCTGCCCCGCCCCTCGCCTGCTGCCTACCACCCACTCTTGATCATGTTGACGTCGTTGGCGCCGTCCCCGATGGCCAGGGTCACCACGCGCTGGTATTTCTTGACCAGCGCCACGATCAAGGCCTTCTGCTTGGGCGTCACCCGGCAGCAGATGACCGCTTGGCACTGGGAGGCCAGCTCCACGAAGGCCCGCTCCCGCCGCACGTCGGGGCTCTCGCTGGTGTTGGAGTCGGTGACCTGGGGCGCCAAGCCCGTGCTCCTCAGCTGGATGCCGAGGGTCCGCCACAGCAGGGATATGCGCCGCGCCCGCAGGAAGTCCGTCCTCTGCTCGTCGGGCTCCTGCCAGGACTCGTCCGCGTCCCTGTTCACCTTGTGGACCAGCGCTCGGGGCTCCTTGCGCAGGGACAGCAGCAGCTGGTCCTGGCCACCGGGGGCAGGGGGCGCATCACTCTGTGTGCACGCCTCCGCTCCGGGAGCGCCCCAGCCGGCCCCTCCTCCCGGGCCTCGCGTCCCAGCGCCAGGCTGGACTTGACCGCGACCCTCCCTTGCTCTGGCCCCGCCGAGAACCATCTCTCTGCTGCTCCTCCCAGCCCCCTCCCCAGTACCAGGGGCTCTGCCGGCGGCCCTGAGCGGACACTGACCAGGAACTCTCCGCTAATGACCATGGCCATCTTGACCTGTGGCAGGAACCGCTTCTTCCGACGGCCCTCGCCACCCCGCACGTTGTTGCTGGTCTCCCAGTAGGCTTCCAGGATGCGACTGTGGGGGCCCAGCGGGGGCTCAGCTGCGCCGGCGAGCACAGGCTTCCCTCCACCCCCTTCCCGGCTGGACCTGGCCCCCCCACCCCCGTGGGAGTCCAGCCAGGCAGAGACTAAGGGCCCTCTGCAGACCCCGGGAGCCACTCTTGGGCCACGGGTGCGACGCCCGCCCCCCGCCCCTCCCCCCCCTTACACGATCTCCTTCTCCAGAATGAGCATGGGTGCAACCCCCGCCCCTCCCCTCCCCCGACCCCCTCCCCCGTCCCGCCCCTCCCCCCTTACACTATCTCCTTCTCCTCCAGAATGAGCATGCTCTCCGAGAGCAGGTGGCACGCAAAACCGATGTTCACCGCTGTCTCTGCAAACCAGCCCGGTTCAACACAGCGGCAGTCCCGCCCCCCGCGGGGGCCACACCCACCCTGCGGGGTAGACCCAGGCCCCCACAATCACATCAGCATGCCCCGCCCCCTGGCCATGAGGATTGGGTCAGAATAAGGCACGTGACTCGGACCAGCCAATGACAGCCAGCCCTGATTTTTTTGGCGGCAGCTCTGAGCAAAAGGGCCCCCACTTTGGTCCTCTGGCCAGCGAGGCTCTTGGAGGAAGGGCGTCTGGTGGCCACGGCCAAGGGGTCATTGGACATGGCATGCCTAGGCCCCATGCGCACTTCTGAGAACCCACAAAAATGACTTAATTTCTTTTAAAATCGGAAGAAAAAAAAGAAAAGAAAAAAGATAATTCAGCTTGGATATTTGTCAGCTGCAAATGTCATTTTAAGTATTTTGTGTGTATACGCCTGGTGCGCACGTAAGTCCTAACGCAGCCCTGCTGGCACACACGGCCAGGGGGCCCCAAAGAACCCGCAGGGGAAAGGAGGAGATTCGGGGCTCGCAGGACCCAAGTCCCTGGGCAACCTCCAGCATGCGCCCCAGAGTTCTCAGAGCCCTGCTTGGCCCATCTATCACACAGGCGTAACAAGGGCCAAACGCTCAGGAAGTGCTCAGCACAGTGCCAACCCACCCCAAGGAGGTGTCGGGGGGCGGGGAGACCCCTGCATTTTGAATGGTTCCCATTTCTCCCCTCCCGGGACAAGGTGGAGGGCAATGCCGAGCCCGGGCACGTGGGACAGGCTGTTGGTGGCACAACAGGCAGGTGAGGAGCTCTCTCCCACCCATCCCCCTTCTCTCTGCGCTGGGCGTGGCCGCCCTGGGACCCACCTTGCTTATCCCCTGTGAGTACCCACACTTTGATACTCCCCTGCTTGAGACACTTGATCGTGTCGCAGACGCCGTCCTGGAGTCTGTCCTCAATGGCCGTGACTCCCAGCAGCTGGGGGGTGGGGTGCAGGGGGCAGGAGGCAGACTGAGTGGGGACTCGGCTCCCTGGCAGGGGGGGGTGCAGGGGGCAGGAGGCAGACTGAGTGGGGACTCGGCTCCCTGGCGGGGGGGTGCAGGGAGCAGGAGGCAGACTGAGTGGGGACTCGGCTCCCTGGCGGGGGGGGGTGCAGGGGGCAGGAGGCAGACTGAGTGGGGACTCGGCTCCCTGGCGGGGGGGGGGGGTGCAGGGGGCAGGAGGCAGACTGAGTGGGGACTCGGCTCCCTGGCGGGGGGGGTGCAGGGGGCAGGAGGCAGACTGAGTGGGGACTCGGCTCCCTGGCGGGGGGGGTGCCGGGGCCCCGGCCCTCCAGGCTCTGCACACCTGGAGGCCCTGCTCCATCTCCTCGTACACCTGGTGCAGGGCGTGGGCCCGGTTCTGCAGCAGGATGCCGGCCTCCTGGTGCCGCTGACACCACTCCTGATACACATCCTCGTCCACCTCCTTATAGGCCAGGCACAGGGTCCGCAGGGTCTGCTCAGCAAAGGACTGGCGGCAAGGGGCCGGGTGGGCCCTGGCACCACCCTGTCACCAAACACCCTGCCTCCCTGACACTCCTCCAGCCCTTCTCCCTGCTTGGGTCCCCCAAACCTTGACCCCCGACCACCGCCTAGGCCCCCCCCCCCCCGCCCATGCTCGGCTCTGTCTGGCCTCCACACCTCTGCCCCTGCCCTTCCTCCTGCCAGGAACACCTCCCTTGGCTTCGCATGGCAACTTCTAGCTGTTCCAAAGACCCTCCCTTCCCCAGTCAGGGCCCCTGCAGCCCCGGACCCTCCCTCTGGTCCCTCGACTTAGGAATGTCTGGACCCCACACTCTGCCTCACTTCTCGAGGGGCCTCTTGGGGATGGGGCGGGAACAGGAAGGATCATGTGGGACTCCGTCTCCAGGCCCCCCAGGAGAACACCCGCTCACCTCTGGGACACCCCAAGGAAGGTACTCCTCATGGCTCCTTACTTTCTGCCTACCCACCCCCCACCCTGCCCCAGGTTTTCTGCCCCAGTGGGCAGCCCCAGGTCTCGCTTTTGTTCTTGACTGGAGGTGGGTCTGAAAGGCCGGGCTTGGGCACAACAGGGGTTCCTTGCACATCCGAAGAACCAGACAGGCCTTCGCTGCTCTTGTGCCTCAGTTTACCTATTTGTTCTACAAGGCAGTTGAGCCAAGCCATCTTGCCGAGCTCCTGGGCTCCGTGTCATTATTCTGTATGCATTTCCCCAGCTCAGAGTCACAGATCAGAGGCCGGCCCCCCAACTCCCTCCTCCAGCAGAGTTCCACACCACCCCCCACTCCCAGCAGAGCAGGGCACTATGGGAAGCTCCAAGTGGAGGGACGCAGGACTTTCTTTCCATAAACACCCCCATTGGCCCCTGGGCTAGGTGATGCTGGAGACCTAGCAAAGCCCTTAGGAAGCCCTATAGGGTCAGGGCTGGGCCAGAGAGAGGACGCCGGACATGACATGACAGCCCTATGTTATGGCTGGGGCAGGAAAATCTCCTTGGAGGTCATCTTGCATCTGAGGCTTGAGGACTAGAAGATCCTGAGTGACAGAGTGGAGGAAGGCATTCCAAGCAGAGGGGTTATATGTGCAAAGGTCTTGAGGCATCATCTGAGCATGGGGCAAATTGCAAGCCAGAAATTGGGGTCCTGGGAAATCCCCTGGGGGCAAGGAGATACCAGGCTAGAGAGACCAGTAGGAGACAGACAGATAGAGCCTCAACAGCTGGGTGGAGGAGTTTGGGCGCCACCCATGGAGCAAAAGACTTGAGGCAAGGAGGGCTGAGCATGTCTTAAAACCCAGGCCTGGCTAGGAGAAGGGGGGCAGTGTCCAGGGCCAAAGTCCAACCACAGGGTGTCCTTGTGTGACTTAGAAAAAGATGTCCCCTCTGGACAGATACAGCTTAGAGTTCAGCTCCTTCCCAGCCGTGTGTGTTGGTGTGTGTGTGCACACGTGCGCAGACACGGGGGGTTGTGCAGTGCACAACCTGGACAACTGTACACGGCCAGCCTTGGTGCGTGCCCTTTCTCTGCGCACTCTCCTCCTCTTCCCCCTCTCCCTGTCCCTGTGCCCTCACCTCCTGCCCCCTGCCCCCCACAGCCTCTCCTCCCACAGGGACTCACAGCCAAGGCCTCCTCTGTGGTCCACTCTTTCATGCCTTTCTTGCACAAGCGTTCAAAGATGACCACGTCAGCGCCCTTGGTGTAGAGGTAGATGGAGCCCTCGGGGTTGCGGACTGCAGAGGGAGAGGCCTGGCTGCCCACATGCTCTACCCTGCCGGCCCACCACACTCTCCCCTGCACGGACACTTACCCAGCACTGACATGCGCTTGCGTATGCTGTTGAAGTCCATCATGGCCAGGACCTGGTACACCCGTTCCTCCCCCAGCTCCATCACCGTGATGCTGTCCTGTGTGCGCGCCAGGAACACGTAGCCGAAATTCCGGGCTGCCGTGACCAGCGCCTCCTCATCGGGGGATGCGGCCTGGTACACCAGCTGGTCTGGTCAGAGAGGGAACCACGGGGTGGGAGGGCGCCTTCCCTGGAGCTTGCCCTCCATCAGGACCCGCCACTCATCTATGGCAGGTCCCACGTCCGTCTCCAGAGCACAGGGGAGGAAATGGGCCCAGTGGACAGTCAGCAGACGTTTATGGGACGGTGGTCTCCTGGGCTGGTATGACCTCTCAGCCCCGTAAAAGAAGGGGGGTGCTTGGGCCCCGGTCTGAAGGGCCTCTCCCTCCCAGCAAGAACAGATCTCGAGTCACAGGCCTGGACACCCCGAGATCCAGAAGAGGCAGGGCTTGGGACAGTGAGAGGAGCCCTGGTGATGGGGCTGGGCAATCTCTAAGGCCAGGGGAGCATGTCAGGGGCCCCGGGGCCTGAGCACCCTCCCAGGCGGGGAGAGGGTGGCCGCACTCACTGTCCTTCTCCTGCACCATCACGGTGTGGCAGATGGCCAGCAGGCGCCAAAACTCCCGCACCATCTTGTCCTCATTGTCCCGAACAGCGCACATGAGCTTCGCATTTCGGTAAAGAAACTTCCCATCGGCAAATTTGTTCCAGAGGTAGGGGTTCTCCTGTGTGGTGGGGTGAGGGGCAGGTGGGTTGTGGGCGCGTCCCTGATCGCCCCTGCCCCCCACCGTCCAGCACTGCAGGGTGCCAAGGGCTCACCTTACGTGGGGTCTCCTCCTCTTCATCCGGGCCTGGGGAAAGACCCCCTCCCATCAGGCCTCAGCTCTCCTGGACCCACGGGGATCCCACAGCCCCCGATCCCCACTGTCAGGCTTCCTGGGGCCACTGGATACAGCGGACAAGCTGGGCCTGGGGCTCTGGACCCGACACCCCAAGCAACCAAGGACCCCCCGCCTCAGCTCTGCCTTCCGCAAAGGAGGCCAAGAGGCAGCCACAGCTCCTGGGGGTCCCAGGGACAGCCAAGGGCAGAACGCAGCCTCACGGAGCGTGTACTGTGTTTGATCTCTTCAAGGTTCTCTTCTTACAACTTGGACTTCGCTGCCTACTTTGGAAAAATTGGTGGTTCCACATAAAAACCTGGGTCCTCAGCCCTTCTAGAAACATCAGAAGACCCGGCTGGGGGTAGATGCTGTTCGCCACAGACCCCGCTGCTCCCTATCGCCCCTCGGGCCTGGGCTGAGGGTGGGGTGGAGTTTCCAGGAGGGCATGGGCCCGTTCCTGTCTCCCCCAGACCACCCGGGCGGGCCCTCTCTCACCTCCTGGTCTCCACGTGCCCTAGTTTACGACAAGGACGGATGAGGCCCCGCCCACCACTGTTCGTGGTCTCTGAGCTGACAGTGGCTTTCCGGTTTCCAAACGACTGGGAGGAAACCGAGAAAGACTTCTCTCGTGACACCTGGAAATGCTGGTGAGTGTCCACGCGGAAGGTTTGTTTGTGAAAACCCGAAGAAGAGTCCTGTCCCGCCGTGGGGCAGGTGTGAGGACAGCGGACGCCGGCCCGGAGGCAGGGCAGACTCCTGGGCGCTGCAGGGGGCAGGGGACCCACCGTAGATGACACCCCCGATGCAGCATTTCTTGAAGGTCATGACGTTCTGGGTGAGGGTGCCGGTCTTGTCTGAGAAGATGTACTCCACCTGGCCCAGCTGGTCGTTGAGGCTAGTGCTGCGTGCCTTGGCGGGCTCGTCCCGCGGCGCAGAATACATGTGCACATCCCAGTTGATGAACATGCTGTTCCCCAGGTAGATGAATTCGACCCTGCAACGCACGCCGGTCACGCCCGATCCCCCCACTCTGACAGAAGGGCGGGGGTGGGCGGCCTGACTCACATGATGAACATGGCCATGGGCACCATGACGCTCAGCAGGATGAGGAAGCCCCAGAAGATGAGGAAGGTCTCGGTGGCCACGCTGTGCAGGTCCTTGGAGGGCACGTAGTGGTGCTTGGCCTTGAACTCCTTCACCTTGAACCAGAAGCCGAAGCTCAGTGCCAGGGAGATCAGCACCAGGGACACGAAGATCTGCGGGGAGGGAGGGTGGCGGTGGAGCAGGCGCAGGTAGGGAGCCCCGGGCGGCACACGAACACGCCGGGGACCCACCAGCAGGGCCGTGAGGATGGCCCCCTCCCCAGCCAGCCCTGTCCACGGGCCCAGCAGAGGGGGCTGGGGGCCAGGGGGGCCTGCAGGTGGCTCTCATGAGGCCTTGTGGCTGCTATTAAATTATTATTACGATAACTTCAAAGGAGATAAAGTTAATTAAGCCAAAAGTTAAGGACCATTAACTGTCAGTGGAAGGGAGGCAAGCATTTCATTGCCTCCTGCACATCTGGAGAACATCCAGATCAACATTTACTTCCTAAGGACATTCCTACTTGACTGTTGCCTCACAGGAAGACTCTGGCCCACAGGCCTGTCCTGGGATCAGGCTGTGCAGCCTGCACAGCGGGGGCGTCCCCTCCCCCTCCTGCCCCCTCCCCGGGCGCCCAGGGCAGGGGCCCCTCACCAGCATCACCAGCCTGTTTATCAGATGGTCTATCTTGGTTCTCTTCAGATGGATCTTGCCACAGTTCTTCATTATCTTGGTGTCGAAACCTGCAGGGTTTGCGTCCACTCACCCCTGCGCCCGTCCATCTGCTCGCCCCCCCTCCCCCTCCAGCCGCCCCCACGTCCGTCCACCTACATCCAGCACCCTGCACACGACACTCCCTTCTCCAGCCGCAATGAGGGTGCTTGCTGGCTCTGCCGGGCCTGGCCGGGGACCTCCTGCCCATGACTGCGGAGCCCCCACCGCCCCCCGCACACCCCAGTGGCCGTACCAGCATAGATGACCATCCCGTAGCAGGTGTCCGTGTTCCGGACCCTGCAGCCGCGCAGAAGCACGTTGCCGCTGTCCAGGGGGTGCTTCCTGCCGCCCCACTCCAAGCACCCCACAAAGTGGTGCATCCGGCTGTTGGGCTCCTCGCACACCACCTTGCCTGTGGGCCAGGGGGCGGTCAGGGAGCCACCCAAGCAGGGGGCCACCATCACGGGGCCTGCACCGGCCCACACTTGCCCCACTGGCCTCACGGCTCCTCAGACAAGCCCTCCCCGCGGAGCCCCCTGCTCATGGGTATGACCCCGGCACATCACTGGGCCTGGTGTCACTGATGTCTGTGAGCTCCGTAGGAGAAGGCGCCAGCCTCGTCTCAGTCACACTGAGGCCCCAGAGCCCAGCCCCGCCCCTGGCATACAGTAGGTGCTCAGGAAACCTTTGAGGAGGGGAAGAAGGAAAGGACACCTACATCCAGCACCCTGCCACCACAGGGGACAAATGCAGGGCACTCTTCTGCCACCACCTGCAGTGAGTGAGTATCTCCAGCCCCACTTCTGTTTGAGAAACTACACTCGGAGTCACAGGCTGGCCCGGGGCAGGGTCAAAATGACAATGAGTTGTGGGCTGGGGCCCTGGGAGGGAGCAAGCCGGGGGGCCACAGGCCTGCTCCAGCTCCGAGAGCCTGGGTTTGTCCTCAGTGTAGAAATGGCAGGCCTGGCGGGGGGGCAGGGGAGCCAAGGGGCAAGCCCGCTCCTGCCGTCACCTCTCCAACCCAGGCTCCTCCTCTGAAAGATGGGCCACGCCTTGCAGGAGCCCTGCCTGGGGCAGCCGGGGCAGGTGGGGGCCTAGAGGGAGGTGTCCGGACTGGTGCAGCCACCCTCCACACAAGCCAGCCTTGTCCCTGGATATCGTGACAGACAGGCAACCAGCCCAGGACACAGATTCTGCTCCAGGACCCACTGGAGTGATGTGCCTTTGCCACAAGCCAGGAAAAAAATCAAGCATCCCCTGGCTGGGGCACGACGAACACCAACTGTGTCCACAGCTACGGAATGTCTTGCTTTCCAGGCAGAAAATAAGAAACGTCAAGGACTCCCTGTCCCGTGGGCTTTGCCACCGCACGTAGGTCGTGAGCCCACGTCCACAGACTGCCTTTTCGATTAAACAGCCAAACGTGTTTGGCTTTCAGCGGCCGTGCGTTACAAGTGAGACGTAATGCCCGATAAAATGCTGCCCTTCGTACTGTTGACAACAGGGAACGGCCCAGCGCTTACGTCGTTTGAGAGGACGAGAAACAGGCCCAGGGCAAGCCCACCTCTTAAAGGCCGTCCTGGCCCCCAACGCCCCCTAGACACCCCATAACCGTCCCCCAAGCCCAACAAGGTGGGGAAATTTTGCACCCACTGCACAGAGGGGCAGATGGAGGCCCAGGAGGGGCAAACGGGTCTGCTGCCTCTCACCTTGGAAGGAAGCCATGTTCCTTATATTGGTCAGCTCGAGGTGGGTGACCAGCGGGGCCTGCCTGAACTTCAAGTTGGTCTCCCTGGTGATGAGATGGGGAGCTAAGCACCTACTGTGTACCACCTGCCAACCAGGAGGCTGAGGCCCAGAGGGCAGGGCCTTGCCTCACTTCCCGCGTTCAGCGTGGCCGCACGCGGAGCACACCAGGGCCTCCAGGAAGGTCGGCGTGAAGGGGGGTCCCTTGCTCGGGGCTAATCTTACTGGCCCTGCCGGCTTGCAGGCGCCCCACGAGTGTTCATGGGGCGAATGACCAGAATTGGCTCTTGCACCCAGAGCCCCAAACCCCTAGTGATGAGCCCCTGCTCACCCATCAATGTCTGCGGTCTCCACGTAGCACAGACTGCTGGGCTCCGTGCTGGCCAGCAAGAGCAGGTCGGCCTGGGGTGGGGAGGGGGTCACGAGGAAACAGCACTGTCAGGGGGCAAGAGGCAACGGAGCAGGGAGCCGCCCTCCCCCTGGAGCCCACCCACTCACCGGGACGATGTTGTCTCTGTGCAGACACACCAGGTCTCCCACTCGCAGGTTCGCCCATTTCTTCCACAGGAAGCTGCGGTGGTGGGGGCGGTGGCGGGTGTGAGAGGGGGCCCCTCCACGCCCAGCCTTGGCCACCCCCAGCTCAAAGAGCAGGGCTTCCCACCGGCAGCTGCCCGCCCCCAGTCCTGCCAGAGGGCCGGCCTTCACTGACCCCCCACTACCTGGTCCCTTCCAGGCCCTCCCCCCTCACCCCTTTAGACCCTCAGCCTCCGCCCCCACCGCAGGGCCCATCCCAGGCTTGATAGACAGTAGCCATTTAGGAAGGGCAGGCCGGGTCCCATGGGACTCAACCAGGTACTCCTCCCTGTCGCACCCCCCTCCCCCGCCACCGCCCTCGGGGTCACGGGCCTCACCTCTTCCCCACCAGGATCTGGCACGGCCTGTTGTTGACGATCCTGTCACTTCTGTGTCGCCCCTGGGCTGACGGGGGGCGGGGGGGGCGGGTCAGAGGGACGGCCCCACCCCCAGCCAGGCCCCCAGGCCCCCCAGGTAAGGGCTCAGGTGCAGAGCAAGCCGTCCACACGGGCGTCTGTCCAGAGCGCGCGGCGTCAGCAGCAGGAGGCAGATTCTGCTTCCACCCGTGTGAGTGCCCTCCCCCCACACCCGCCCCCACGCCACACACCCCCAACCACACTTACGATGTCATCCACCAGGTCTCGGGTGGCCCGGATGATGAGGAGGCCCATGAGCGGGGCAAAGAGACTGAACCAGGGCAGCGTGGAGATCTCGGGGAAACCCTGACGTGGCGGGTGGGTCATGCCAGTCCGTCCCCCAGGCACCACCCTGACCGCCTCCCCCTGCCCTCCCACCAAGCACCCCCAGCCTTCCAACCTGGCTTCCTGGGTCCACCTGCTGACCACCTCAGCCCAGGGCCAAACCTCAGGACTGGTCCTTCTCCAGAACTTCTCCCCAGCACACTCCTCCTCCCCTCCATGCCCAGCTCCCATGTCACCTCCTCCAGGAAGCCCTCTCAGCCCAAGCTGTTCCCTCCTCGGGGCCTTCACGCTCACTGTTCCCCTCCCAGTAACCCTGCTCCTCCCCATCAGCTCCTCCAGTGGCCCATAGACCAGCCTGGGTGGGGAGTCCTTGTCCCCATCACTGGTGCCCACCACGTGGTGTGATGTCACCTCACCAGTCCCCAAGCCACCTGAAAACAGGTGTCAAGGTCACTGCCAGGTCCCCGATGCCTAGCATAGGACCCGCATGCAGTAGGTGCTCAATAAGTTTTTATTGGATCTTTATTCAGAACAGAATGAGATGCTGGGTGAGGGTCAGGGTGCTCTGGAAACTGCCCCCCCCCCCGCCCTGCTGAGAGAGGGAGGTGCCCATGCCCAGACCACCCAGGCAGTGGGAAGTGGCCCGGCAGGTTCTGAGAACATGCTCTTGACCCCTGCTTCCTCCTTGCCCTCTGGGGTCAGCTCCTTGGACCTGAATGAGCCGTGCATGCACCTTCATCATTCAACATACATTGAGCACCCCTCTGTGCCAGGCCCCGCCCTAGGCAGCAGGGCCCCAGCGATGAGTGTGGGAGCCAGACATTGACCCACTAAGCACCCAGACAAGAGCACAGTTAAACTGCCCTGGGTCTACAGAACCCTGGGGCAAGGGATGTCAGGGAGGGCCCCTGGAGAAGGCAACGTGAGCGGGGGGCTGACCCCTGGGGCTGCCCCCACCCTGCCACACCTGGAGAATGATGATAAAAAGGAAGTAGAGGTTGGAGATGCGGCAGAACTGCCCACACAGGTTCAAGGGCAAGAAGGAGAAGACGTTGTACTTGGCAGTGTAGATGACATTGCTCTGGAATGAAAGCCGGCACGGCATTGCAGCCCAGGCCAGGGGCCCCCCCACCTACCCTGCCTGCCCTCTGGCTGCCACCAGCATTGGCTGAACACCTGCTGAATGCAAGGTCTTGAGCCCGAGTTCACTGAGTGCCTGCTGAATGCCAAGCCTTAAGCTGGCATTTCTGAGCCCCACTGGGTGCGAAGACCCACGGGGCAGAGCCACGGCCCCTGTATTCCCTAGAGTGAGACACATGCAAGGGGTTTGGGGTCCAGCCCCATGGACGTACTGCACTTTCAAGGGTTCTCAGGAACTCGTCACAGTGCGAGGCTCCAGCCCTCAGGGTTAACGTGGGGGTGCGGGGTGCTGTGGGGGAGGCCGGCGCCGTGAGACCGGGGCTGCCCACCTTATACTTCTGCCTCTGCCAGCACAGGAAGCTCTTCTTCTTGAACTGGCTGTTGTGGGCCCTGCTGTTGGCTTTTACCTCCCAGGTGAATGCTGAAGCCAGAGTGAGCAGGGCATCGTGCAGGGCCGCGGACAAACACAGGCTAACGACACCCCAGCGGAGGGCTAATGGGCCCCCAGGGGACCCAGCACTGGGGACACTCAGTGGGCAGGGTGGGGACACTCAGCGCATGGCCAGGGAGCCGGTAAACAAACAGGATGGCCCCTGCAGCCCCGCCTCCCCCCCCCGAGCCCCCAGGAAGCTTGCCAGGAGCCAGAGGGAATCCGAGCAGTGGGCCCTGGCCTGGGCCAATCCCCAGGCTGGGCCACCCTGGGCCACCACCTAGGCTACAAGAACAGGCTCTGGGAGACCCATTTACACCCATTCAGTCTACAGAGGAGGTAAACTGAGGCCCAGTGATGGGCTCCAAGGTGATGGGCTGCAGGCCCTGAATCCCAATCCGGCATTCAGTCATCAGGTTTGGGACTATTTATAACCCAACAAGAGCCCTACACTGGGCCTGTGTGTGGGTTTGGGGGAGCCTCCTCAGTCCCCCCACCTCAGCCACTACACTTTGTGATGCCCCTTCGCCCCCTCGCCCAGACTCAGGACACGCACCTGTGTTCTTCTCCTCCTCGAGGTCCTCTCGGTAGGAGAGACTGCCCATGCTGGTGGGGCTGTGGGGAGAGGGCCCAAAGTCACACCAGGGGCCCAGCCCTTGCTGGACCATCGTCCCATCCTCTGCGCTCCTGGGGACTCACGGTCTGAGAGTGGGCCCTCTAAACTGTCACCTCCCACGACCACCAGCCACTGGCTGTGTCCTTCTCCGGGTGTCCTCAGGCCCAGTGGGGCCCAGGCTAACCCCCAAACCTACAACGGCCTCACATCCCACAGCCCCCAAGCTAGCAACCTGCCTCGTCTTCCCGCATTAGAGCCCAACCCCTAGGAGGAAGGGTTCCCTCTCTGGCCACTGCTCCCCACCCCATCACCTCTCCCGGTATGCCCACACCCACCCCTTCCCTGGTTGTCCTGCGCCCCCTCCTGCCCCAATCCCCAGAACCACACACATGCTCAGCCCACTTAGGTGCTCCATCAGTGTTTGTTGACTGACTAAGTGGGGCCCCACGGTTATATGTTAGATCTGGAAGGGTGTATATGAGGGTCAAGCTCTTCAGAGAGGTCTGGGCGTGGTCTTGGGGCAGCTGACCGCGATGGGGAAGATGGGGGCAGACACCGCGCCTTCTACGAGCCTGGAACGCTCCCACCATCCAGCTCGTGCTTGACTGTTGCCCTCCCATGCCAGGAACTTGAGTCTAACCAGGGGACCCTCAGCAGTTCCCCATGTGACCCTCCACCCCCCCAAGCACGCAGCAGCTCCCCGCCTCCCGGAGCCCCTGAACGGCTGTTTCTTCCACCGCGAGTAGCTTTGCCCAAAGCCTGGCCGGTGCCTCCTCACCCTTCCGGTTTCAGCTCATACTTCTCAGACCATCCACGCTCGTTCAGGTGCCTCCTCTGGGCTCCCCCTCTACCTGGAGCGTCCCCCATCCCAGGTCTGATCCCCCCTCTCTCCTCTGCTTCTCTCCCTGTCGGGGCTGCCTGCTGAAGTCAAACTTTCAGGGCTGGCCTCTGAGTCAACAGCGTCCCCAGGCCCCGAGGGGGAGGACCTGGCTCAGAGCCGGTTCCGTTGCTCCCGGGAGCCCGAGCTGGGCCAGTGCCCATTCACCAAATGAGGAAAAGTGAGGCCCGGGGTGAGCGAGGCTTAGCCAAGCGGGACCCAGAGGCCGGGGAGACCCAGCGGGGGGCGGATGGGGCCGGAGGGCAGAATCCACTCCAAGTTCGTGTGGGGGCAGAAGACGCCCCCTCCCCCAGTGCTGGCTCCCCCTGCCTCCCCACGTCCAGCTCATCAGCAGCCTCGAGCATCCGGCAGCGGCGGTGGCCAGACGCCGGAGCCCCCCTGGACGGGAGGCCTGGGTCCACAAGACCCCGGGCGCTGCGGCTCCCCCACTGGACTCCGCCCCGCGCGAACCTCCAGCGACGCCCGCCGCGGCCGCCGCGACCTCACACCCTCAGGCTGGGCGGAGGCCAGAGAGGGTGCGCGGGCGCCCGGGGACACACAGCAGCGGGAGCGCCGCCGCTCACCTGCGCGGGCCGGGCCGGGCCGGGCGGTCCGCGGGTGGCCGGGGCGGCGGACGTGGCGCAGCTGTTAGCCCGGTGCCAACCGGCCTGAAACGGGCGGCACGGGCGCGGCGCGGGAGGGGGCGGGCCCTTCTAAAACTGGGCGGGGCCCGGGCCGCCCCGGGAGGCGGGGCGTGGCGCGGGAGGGGGCGGGCCCTTCTAAAACTGGGCGGGGCTCGGGCCGCCCTGGGGGCGGGGCCTCCTACAGCTGGGCGGGCCCGAGGGGCCGGAGGCAGCCCTGGGGGCGGGCTATGTAAATGATGGTACCGGAGGGGGCGGGGCGGCTTTGTAAGCCTGGCCGGGGCGGGGGCCGCCTGGGGACGGGGTTCTGCAAGTGGGCGGGCCCCGAGGGGCGGGCGAGGCGGGGCGGAGCCTCACGGAGAGGGCCAGGTGGAACCTGGGGCGGTCTCTGCAGTGGTGCCAGCCAGAGGAGGGGCGGGCCCAGATCCAGGGTTGGGGCTTTGCAAGGAGTTGAGGGGTGTCAAGGTAGGGGTAGGCTGGGGAGGGCCAGTGGGCGGGGCCTTGCACAGCAGGCGCAGAGTACTAATGGGCCTGTAATTTAGGCGCAGGGTCTCGGTAGGGTGGATTGGACCTGGCCATGGTTGGACGGGGGGGGGGGGGGGGGGGGGGGGGCCAGAGTGGGGCTAGGAACACAGGAAAGCCGCACAGGCGATCACAGGTCTAAGCTGTGTGCCTGGGTTGTCCCTCACTCATCCTGTACCTGTTTAATGAGCACCTTCCTACAGGTGTAGTTTTGGGCCAGGGCTGGGGAGGACGTTACAGGAAGCCCACGAGGTTCTGGCCCGTGTGTGCTCACCCAGCGGGCGGCCAGGGCTCCAGGGGCCTTCCTGAAGGTGACAGGCGTGGGAGACAGCCATAAGGCAGGGTCATCGCCAGGCCCCAGAGGTGGGCAACTTGAGCCAGGGCGGGAGGGGCTGCTGACTCTAGGGCCTCCCTGAGTGGGGTTCAAGGGAAGGGGCAAACTCGGGAGGGCAGAAGAGATGATTGAGCGCTGTCTTTCCTATTTTCACTTTTAGAAACCGTCTGAAGTGTGGAAATTAGGAAGGTAGTTGGTACTTTCCCGCCTTTTCTGCACTTTCCCACCCTCACCACCCTTCCCTCTTAGTCCTGGGATCCCTCCCTCTGGCGCATTCCTGATCCAACAGACCTGGGACCTGCACCTGATTCCATGCCCCAGCCTCCCGTCTCTGCCTGGGGCCTGGAGCCCTTCACAGCAACACCTGTGAGCAAATGTTGGGTGAATGAATGAGTGGGTGATGGTGTGGTGAGGACAGCACAGAGGATGTGACCTCCACCATCAGGGCGGCAACCCCCCGACTCCTTGTTCCTCGGAAGCCTGGTCTGCACACCCTCCTTGGCCTGGGGAGGGGAGAGCAGGTAAACCTCCCATTTATTCATTCACTCAACAAACACCCAGCCCCGTCCCCGTGGTTAATGGGAAAGACCCTGGGGTGGTGGTGGTGGTGGCGGGGGGGGGGGGGGGCGCTGGCACAAATTGTTCTAATAGTCTTTAGGAGAGACTTTGCTGGGTCCGCGAACCCCATTCCCTCCCTGGGATTTGCAAAGGCCCTGCAGCCTCCAAGAGTCAGCATCTTTGGCCAGCTGAAAGCTTGCACTCCTCCTCCCGGTCTCCCTGGGGGCTCAGTATGCTCTGGGGAGGCAGACACCACCAGAAGCACAGAAACAGGGGGCACCTGGGTGGCTCAGTCAGTGAAGGGTCCAACTCTGGATTTCAGCTCAGGTCTTGACTTCAGGGTCCTGGGATCCAAGCGCTGCGTCGGGCTCCACGCCAGGCGTGGAGCCTGCTTGAGATTCTCTCTCTCCCGCTGCCCCCTCTCCAAACAAAAACAAAAACACAGAAACCGGCCATGCCATTTATTTAGGAAACAACTACTTATTTACACAAGAGGTGGGAGAAAGTCAAACGGTCACAAGAACGTCAGGGGGACACAACAGTGGCTGGGTCAACACTCCCCCTGGAGGGCCCCCCCGGATCCAGAGGCAACCAGTCCTTGGCAGCGATGGCCCAGGACACCTTGGGGGCAGAGGCTGCTGTGTCCTCAGCCTGGGACCCTGCTCTCTGGGCCTGCAGCAGAAGCTTGACAGAGAAGCAGGGGGCCTCCTCCAGGCAGCCCTCCCTCCAGCACCTGTGTTCCTGCCTCCAGACCTAGGGCACTCGGGTACCTGCCCCTCCACGAGGTTACTTCTGGCTTCACTTCCCATTATAAATGAACTAAAGGTGGAGACCCGAGCAGCCCCGGCCCGTCCACCCCAAGAGGCACCGTAATTCACAAAGCCGCCAATTCCATCGCTGGGCGTTGTGCACACGAGCATGTCCTGGGAGCAGCAAACAGGCACACGGCGGTGAGCGGCCACCCTTCCCTTTCCACGGAAGCTTCTCAGACACGCAAGGCACAGTGGCTCTCCGGTCCCACCGGGACCCTCCACACCCAGCCCCCCACCCCCCAGGCCAGCAAGGTGGACCCCACTCACAGGACATGGTTGCTGCCTCCACCATCACAGCACCCCCAGGGCTCCAGGTCTGCATCCCCAGGCCAGGCTGGCAGGCCCGGGGACGGCTCGGGCACCGGGGACGGCTCTCAGGAAGATGAACAAGGGTGTGCTGTTTCCCCAGTTAGGGGCACAGGTGCTGACCGTGGGGCTCACCTGGCACCAAGAACACCACCAGACGCCACGCAAGCTAAAATCCATACAAACATTTATTCCGTCCCTGCCTCGGGTTGGGGGAGAGGGGCTCAGGGCCCTGGGGAGGCTGCAGGCCTTTACACACAGCCCCTGGGGAGGGTGGGGCTCTGGCAGGAAGACAGGGTCCAGAGGCTGATGGGCCCTGGAGGGGTCCGGAAGGCGAGGCCCTGGGGGGGGCAGGGGGGCTGGCTTGGTTCCCAGAGGTCACGGAGTCCAGGTGGGTTTGGGGAGGCCAGTTCCCACCCATCTGGCCCAGGCCAGGCTGGACTCTCGGTCCTGGTGGCTGCCAAGGGGACAGCTTGTCGGCTCCCGGCCCCCCAACTTCTCCCCCTCCCCCGCCCCCAACAGGGAAGGCAGCACCAGGGTCTTGCTTCTCCGGGCGGGAAAAGACAACTGTGCGAGTCGTCAGGTTTAAATTACAAATAATAAAAATAACAATACAAAATAAAAAAAACCCCTGTCTCAAACACACCCACGAAAAGCCTGCCCGGCAGGAGGAGGGGCAGGAGGTCTGGCTGCCAGGGACGCAGCAGGGCCCACGGGGGGGCCGGGGGGGGGTCTGTCCCGGCCTCCACCGGGAGTCAGCAGCGGTCTCCAGAGGACAGAAGGCGGGGGCGGCGCAAGGGGCCGGGTGGGGGGCAGGGCTCCAGGTGGTCTCGGCGTGGGGCTCTCGTGCCGCCGGCTCGTCCCGCTCTCTCTGTTTCCATGTCTTGGCGACGTGGACAGGGTTAGCTCTCGAGATTTATTGCACTGTTTTGGAAGAGGCCTGGGGTAGAGGCCGGGCCGGGGCTGCGGGGAAGGCGGGCAGGCGGCAGCGGTCACCGCTTGGTCTTGGCGTCTTCTCGGATCTTCCAGATCACCAGGTGCATACAGGCGCTGGCGTCCTCGCTGGAGCTGTGCCCGTCCACTGCACAGCGGGAGGGGAGTGCGTCAGGGTGGGCGCGCCCCCCAGGCCCGGCCCCGCCGCCCCGCCGCCCGCCGGCTCACCATTGTCCTGGATGATCTGTCTGAGGTAGTCAGCCATGAGGTTCCGCAGGGAGCGCTTGTAGGGGAGGCCCAGGCGGTGCGGGAAGAGCACGGACGTGTCCACCACGGTGCTGTGGATGACCTGTGGGCGGGCGGCTGGGCAGAGACCACAGGGGCCCAGGTGCCCGGGGTCGGACCACCCAACTCCTGCCCCTCCCCCCACCCAGCTGAGGGCCCCGGGCCCAGGACCCCCAGCAGGCGGAGCCCGGGGCGGGCGGTACCTTCAAGGCCAGCAGGTCGCTCTCCAGGCTGTGTCCGATGAGGACGGTGTCGGCGCTGAACATGCTCAGCAGGACGGCCTGGACGTCCCGGAGCGAGATGCTCGTGTTGGCGAGGTCAGCCTCGGTCACCCCTGAAAACCTGCGGTGGGCAGAGTCGGGGCCTGAGGGTAGCTAGAGAGGGGTCTGGGGTTCCCGAGCCCGGAGCCGGGCGGGGAGCGGGGGGTCGGGGCCACACCTGGTGTTGTAGTCAACGATCTCGTTGTCTGGCTTGACGAAGGTGTCGTAAACCACCTGCATGTCCGTGTCCACCACCGTGACGCGCGTCAGCTCCAGGCCATATGTGGTGTAGGACTGTGCGGCCGGGAGGGCTCATGTGACAACGCGCCCGCCCCACCCCGAGCTCCGGGGGAGCTCCCAGGGGCTCCTCTGGGAGCCGGAGCAGGCGTGAACCCGGGGTGCCCTCGCTAAGCCCCAGCAGCCCCCCGGTGCGCACGCCAGTCCCGAGTAAACGCAGCCGTGTCGTCAGCGCGCCTGGGGCGAGCCGAGGGCCGAAGCCAGAGCTTCGCTTGGCGGTGGCGGAAAAGCCCGCTCTCACAGCCCGAGCCAGAGAGAGGCCGGCACCCGCCGCTGCCCGCGGCTCTTCCCCTCACCTGCTCTATCCTGAGACCCACGCTGGCTCCAAGCTGCAGGTGTGGGTGCCCGGCCGCCACGAGCACGTGCGGCACGCAACTCACCATTTCACAGTCGAGGGCGAAGATCCCTGGGTGAGCGTCTTCCGCAAGTTCTTTATCGAAAGTCTTCACAAAGCCTTCGAGGTTTTCCTTCCGGCCGTCCTGCACGTGTTGCTGCAGGCAAGACAGGAAGGCCGGTGAGCCCGGCGTGGGTCTCAGGAAAGCCCCCTTTTCCAAGGCCGCCACCAGAGGCACACGGATGAAAGGACAGGGAAGGGGGGTCAGGGCTCTGGCCTAGCCGCGCCTCCTCTCTGGCCAGGCGGGGAAGCGCCGAGCAGGGCCCAGAGACCTACCTTGGCGACCTGGCAGCCAGTGGAGCCGATGGCGGCCGAGCAGCACGTGTACTGAGTCTCCCAGCCGCCAGCCACTGGAAGGGAGGTGGCGGTCAGGGCCGGGGGCCCCCAGGCGACCCGCCCCAGGCCTCGCACGCACAACGCTGGCACCCGACGGCCCGGGCAGAGGCTTCCCAGCAGAGGAGGGCGGGCCCCGTGAGGCGGGCGCTTCCAGCCTCCCTCCTTGGGGGCGCGGGGGGCTCACCCCGGTTCCGGCGGAGCCGCCCCCAGTGGTAGCAGCACTCCTCCTCCCGCACGCAGCGGCCCGACGGGGACACGAGGTACTCGGCGCCACAGCGGCAGCAGATTCTGCAGGACGCTGTGAGGCAGCGGACAGCCAAGGCATCAGGCCCCGAGCCCCCTGCGTCTGTCTCTTGCTCACTTCGCACCCCCCCACCCAGACGGCCCTCCGCGAGCGCCCCCCAAGCATGGGTGCTCAAGCCCACTCACCGTCCTTGGGCTTCTTCTCCTCAGCCGTGAAGATGACGGCGCCCCCCGGCCGCTCGGGGTGCGGGAAGGGGTAGCCATTCTCTTTGAGCTGGTCCTCGGTGAGCAAGTACTCCTTGAGGCGGCCATACAGGGCGACCCCTGGGGACAACCGGGACAGGCGGTCATCCCACAGCAAGGCCGGGGAGGGCCGAGCAGGCGAGCAGGGGGGGCAGGCCTGGCGGGGGTGGGGTGGGAATGCTGCCACAGGAGCCACCGCTGAGCCCCCGAGTGGCCCGGCTGGACCGCTCGAGGGACCGGGCTCACCTTTCAGATCCTCCACCCGGGGGCTGCTCGGGCGGCTGAGCGAGAAGCTGGTCTTGGTGGCCAACTTGCCTCCCAGCACCATCTCATGGGACACAACCCTCCGGCCGCCGGTTTCTGGAAGTGGGGGGAGGGTACAGTACGCTCAGACTCCCAGGTGCACCCCTGCCCTCCGTGGTGGCCTGTCCCCTGGCCGGCTCCTCAGCACCCAGTCAGGAGAGGCCTGACCGCCTGTGACCTGGGGGCAGCCACCCTGCCCCCACCTTAACTCTTCCGGAAGCAGCTGCAGGTGGTGGTCCTAAGGGACGGGGACGACCTAAGGGCCTTCGGGGGCTCCGTGGACGCTGCCCGCAGGAGCTGTGGGGGCGGAGGCGGGAGCAGGAGACTGCGGAGGTGTGCGCACTGACGGATTAATGTGCATTCGGGGGCAGGAAAGAAACGTCCTCCCGGAGCTGAGCGTGCGGAGCAGGCCCGGGGAGCTTCGCCTCTGACGAGGCCGTCCCATGAGCAGGGCCCCGCAGCTCGAGAGAGCCAGCCAGCTAAGGAGGGCGGTTACTAGCGAGAAGAGGCGGTGGTGAGGCCGTGGGGCCGGCATCATCGTCCGCAGACACCTGCCGACCAGCCGCCGGCCCCACCACAGCGTTTCCCGCGGCCTTCTGTCCGACAGTCCCCATGCTCCGAGCGGCAAAGAGCCAGCCGGCCAGGGCCCCACGCCCCCGCTCCCTCGCCTGGGGAGCCCGGGGTCCTGCGCTCAAGGCACAAAGCTGACTCTTCCAGACGTGAACTCCCCGGCCACCCCCTCCCCCCGCCCAATTTACTGTTGAGACCGGGCGTGGAGCTGGGGACCAGGCCCCGCAGCTTCTTGAGAGTGTTCACGGCGACATTCAAGTAGATGTTCTTGCTGGGGCTGCGGTCGTAGGCCACCTTCTCCTCGTTCAGCGCCTGGGGACAGACGTGCTGCTCAGGCCTGGGGTCCTGGGCTTGGGGCCCAGGAGCAGCCCCTCAGCCTAGGACCCGGACAGCCTGCGGTCAGCGGCCACCTGCCAGGGTCACACACCTTCTCTATGGCTTCCTGGTTTGAAGAGCAGAACTTGAGACACTCCTCAATGAACAGGTTCAGATATCGCTGGCGGATGACCGTGGGGACTTTGCCCCCAAACTCTTTGGGGATAACGGGCTTCTTTAAACTCTAGGGAAGACAGACCCATTGGAGGTGGCACGTCCCAGCCTGGGCCTCTGACGCCATTTCTCAAACCCACAGGGCATCACACACACAGTGGACCCTGCTGGGAACTCTGGGCTCCGGTGACCAGGAGGGTGGCCGCTGGCTCATCAGCACCAACAGACCACCCTAGCAGTGTGGACAGAGGAAAAACTGAGGGCAGGTGGAGAGGAGGAAGGCACCTGTGCCCCCCCGCTCAATGTCTCTGAACCGCAGCTGCCCCGAGCGATGGGGGAGCTGAGGGAGTGGGCAGGGGAGGCTCCTGTGGGGAGCAGGACATTCACCTGTAAAGATGGGCTGTGGGCAACGCGCTTGGGGGTGACGGTGGTGGTGGTCTTGGACGCCATGCCCGACAACGTACGCGCCTTCAGGGGCTGGCTGCCCGGCTCGGGGCCATTGGGAGGCTGGCTGCTGCTGGCGGCGAGGGCCCTCTTGGCACCTGTGGGGGCTGGCGGGGCACAGGGTCCGTGAGTGCGGGAGCAGAGCACGCCCATCACCGAGGTGCAGAGCACCAAGCAGCCGCGGTCATTCAGCGCCAGCAGGACGTGCATCTCGGAGCACCGGGGGAAGGGCCGGGCTGTGGGACACGGGCTGCGGAATGGCATTAGGTTCTATCTGCTTTCGGGCAAGTCCATCGAGAAGGGGGAAACACAAACGGGCTTTGGAGGCCGGCTCAGGCAACGTCGCCGCCGGGGTGGTCCGGCGAGTGGCAGGGCACGTGGGGAGGCTTTGCCACATGTTCCGGCCCCCGACTCCGAGGCATTGACGTACGAGGGAGGAAAGGCCCTGGCTCCTGGGCTGAGGACCAGAGGGTACAGGACGTCCCCGGCCCGGTCACTGTGACCAGCCGGCCTGCCCGCCGCGGCCTGTGTTCTGCCTCTCCCTTTGATGAGGTCACAAACCAAACAGTCTCCCGCCCCCCCCCACCCCCCAGGGAGGAGGGCACCCGCCTGTGGGGCCGTTTCCGAGGGCTCCAGGCAGGCAGCGGGGGCTAGGGGAGGCGGGCTGGGTGAGCACGTGCGCGGGGCCTCAGACCAGCCCTGCTCCCGGGCCCGGCCGTGACAAGAGAACGGGAGCAGATGAGGAGAGCAGAGGGCCCGGGTCCCCGGCCTCCTGGGAAGGACGCTGGCACCACGAGCTGGCTGTGGCCCATCGGACACCAGGGCCAGCCTCTGCTGATGGGGCAGAAAACGTGCGCTTCTCAGGGATGGAAAGACAGCTCTTAGGTTCGTTTAGACAGACTTCTCAGGCAGCACCTGGGCACACGTGGAAAGGAAAGCCAGCCCGGAGCATCGGACGGGACTCCTGAGACCTCAGGTGGGTCCCACGGCCGCTCAGGGAGGTGGCCCCAGTGCCTACAAATGCCGGACTCCCCGCGGGCTGACGCCACCCCCAGCGTGTATGGTGAGGGCCGTGTGCCAGGACCGACCCGTGCGACTCGGCCACGGGCAGAAGCTGTGGGTTTGTGAGAGAGCCACGTCCCGGGCCCCACGCGGTTCAGGGTCCTCGCCCTTCCCGCTGCTCAAGAACCTCAGCCAACACCCCTCACCATCGGGTTCTAACCGGGGGGTTCCAGGGTGGGGAAGGATCAGAATGAAACAGCTTATGCTGAAGAAGGTTTCCGGCACCAGGGAAAAGCAGCGGTGGCTACGGGCGCCTGCATTTGCAGGACTACCTCATGGGGCTGCCCCTCAGGCCCCGGTTAATCAAGGGGGTATTGGAATAGCAGCAAGGGAGTCCCCTGGGAGCTGGTCAGAGGGCAGGGGCCTCCCCCAGAGAGGCTGACTGCATCTGAACAAGCCCTCCTGAGCCCCCCCTCCCATTTCCTCTGCTCCAGACACTGCTGACCCAGAGACACCCACCGAGTGTCCTGCCTGTCGGACCCCAGAAGCGTGACCTGGCTTCCGCAGTGTGGAGCGTGCCCCTCAGAGCAGGAGGAGGGGGCAAGACTGCCCCGAGCCCCCGAGGTCAGCTGAGCGCCTCCAGCCACACCTGGGCAGGAGCCAGGGGCCCCACCCCACACACAACCCTGCAGCCAGCTCCTTGTTCCTGGCATCGCTGTCTAGGGCCTGGTGCCCACACTCAGACCGGCCCCCACCGGGCCACCCGCCTCCAATACCCCAGGAGCCCGGGGGAGGCAAGGACACAAAGACCAGGGGCAGGGACAGAGGGAGAGTCACAGGGAGACCTCTGGGTCAGGGCCTCAGAGGGAGGCTCTGGGTCTGATAGACAAGAGATAGGAGAAGACACCCCTCCGCCTCTCCACAGCCAGGAGCCCAGTACCAGCACCAAAGCCAGGAAAGGCCCAGAGCCGCTGGGCACTGCACCAGGCCCGCCTGCTACCGGTCGGAGAGACCCTGATCCCCATCTCACAGACAAGCATGCTGAGGCCCCGGCTGGGCCCTGTCCAAGGCCACCATCGCTGGCAGAAGTGGAGCCTGGCCCTGGGCCCCTCCTATCACGCCCGACCCCTGTGCCCTGGGACTTACCGGCAGCCAGACGGGGGTTGGGAACGTGGGCGATCCTCCTCCTCTCGCCAGGGGCTGAGATATGGATGGAAGAGGGCTTCTCAGCCAGCTGCTGGGTAGCCTGGAGCCAGGTAGCAGAGTCCCTCTGGGCCTGCTGGGCCCGCCGATAGCATACCTCCTGGGCGGTGAGAGGCCGGGCCGGGGGAGCTGGGCTTCTCCTCACAGGCTCTGCCTGGGTGATGACAAATTCCAGGGTGTGGCTGTAGGTTGGGGGCACCCAGAGCAGGCCACGTGGGGCAAAAAACTGACAGTACAGCCATGGGCAGGAAGGCCAGGGCTCCAGGGCCTGGGCACGTCCAGCTGCCCTGGGGCCTTCTGAGCTCTTGGATACCCAGGCGGGAACCAAGGAGCTCAACATGTTGGGCCTCAAGCTCATGTTGCCTCACCGTCCCGGAGCGGAGCACCTCCGTGGCCCTGCTCTCTCGGCTTCTGCCTTCAGAAGGCCCAGGCCGTGCCTTTGGCCCTGATAAGAGGCACACCCACTACGTGGGTGGGAATCCCTGGGCCCCCTGATTGGATTAGCACACCAATCCAATCCCGCTTGATTCAATCCTCTCTAGCCTCCAGCTTCACCAGGGGAGAGCTCCAGTGACTGAATCAACCAGAGCTCCCAGGTGCTTGGCCGGGAGCCCCACCCTCTGCCCCGATCTTCTCCTACGCTGGCTGCCTCAGCCACCAACCACTTTCCCCGTCTTCACGGTGGAAACCAGCTCGGAAGGGCTGGGCCACCTCTCTGGGGTCACACAGCACATCTCCCAGCCAGCGCCAGACTGCGCTGTGTGACCCTGCTGGAGGACGGCCGCTCTGGAGCCGCCCCTCACGTCGCCCTTCCTGCGCTGTGCCCGACTCCCCCCAGAACGGAGCACAGCCTGAAGACCGGAGGCGGGCTCCAGGCACTTCTGTGCCAGGACACAGGAACTCGTCGGCCGGGGAACACGGGGATCTGGTTTCGCAGACAGGGGCCTCTCTCCTACCAGCTTCTACCCAGGACCCAGAAGCAGACTCTTACCTCCTTGCCTTGCTTGGAGAGATGAGAAATTCTCCTCTTCTGCCCAGGGAACAGAGTGGTCAAACCCGAATGCCCCTTGTCTTCGATTTTCTCTTCCTTGGGGGGCTGAAACACACATCCGTCCCTCAGCGAGGCTCCCTCTCTCGGGCCTCACCTCCCACACCAATGCAGCGGGCTCCCAGACCTGAGACAGGGTGAGGTGGGAAGGCAGAGACGCACTCGAGGGAGGGGCTCCCAGGTCTTGAGACACGATGTGGGGCCCTCACCTCCAACCCCCGCCCACTCACAGGTGAGGAAACAGGCTCCCCAGCACATCTCCTGCAGACACACCCCAGCCCCAAGTGCGACAGGGGCCTGAGCCAAAGTGGCCTCCCGCCCAGACCACTGCCTCCTGGCCCCCTCCCTCGCCCGCTCACGCGGGGCGGCTCAGAAACACAGGAACCAGGTGGAGAAATCTGACCCGCACCACCTGCAAGGTCTGCGAACAGAGCAGGGCAGTAAAGGACAGGGCAGCCCGGGAGGGACCTTGCGGCCCTCCCAGAAGCGGCAGTTTTCTGAGCTTTGTGGAAAAGCAAGCTCCCTCTGGTGGCCGACTTGAGAACACTGGCTGGCCGACCCAGAAAGGCTGGGGTAGCCCGGGTTTGGGGGGGGACGGAGGAGAGAGGGAGGAGACAGGGGGCGGAGGGAGAGGTGGGCAATGCACTGCACAACTCTGCCTGGTCTCTGTGGATCTCAGGACACCGCCCGGGAGCCTGCCGGGTGGGCCTTAAGCCTCCTCTTTGTGGACAAGGCAAGCTGGGGGGCGGGGGGGTCCGCAGGCAGCCCCCAAGGGCTCCTGACCGAGGAAGGACGGGAGCACCCCCGCTGCAGCCACAGGCCCTGTGGAGGCGGCTCACCTGCCGGGCCAGCCGGCCCCTGTCCTCCGTCTTCACGCTGGTGGACTCGTTGAAGATGCGCAGACACTCCTCCATGGGGTCGGAGTCAAAGTCGACCTCCTTCTCCAGAGCGGCGTAGTCCACGCTCCCGCCCACCCCGGAGGAGGAAGAGGAAGAGGAGGAAGAGGAGCATGAGGAGGGGGAGGGGGAGGCGGGGGCAGGCCGGGCAGGCGGGGGGGCCTTGAGGCGCTTGCGCGGCCCCTGAGCCGCTGAGTAGCCCAGGCTGCTGTCCGAGTCCGAGTCGGAGTCCGAGGTGGAGCTGAGGTGGGGCGGGGCGGCGGGGGGCGCCGCGGGCCCCGGGCCTTCATCCTCGCTCTCGTCCCCGAAGAGGTCTGCGTGGCTCAGGGCCCGCTTCTGCAGCTTGGGGGCGTCCCGGGAGGGACCCTCGTCCAGCGAGCGGGCCTTCCGCTCGGCCAGTTTCCCCGACGCGGTCTTCCCGCCGGGCCTGTTTGGCAGCTGGTGGACACCCCCGCGGTCGGGCCGGCTTTTCCCTGAGCTGGCCACCGGGGTGGCCGAAGATGGCTTTTTCTTGGTCCCTTCGGGCTGCTCGGCCCTCTGCCGGGGGCTGCCAGCCTGTGGGCCCCTCCTGTCTGCACAGGGCTTCCCGGCTGGCCTCCCACGCTCTCCGTCTTTGCCCCTGTCCTTCTTCCGGACGCCGTCCTTGTGGCCGGGGGCAGGCAGTGCCCCACTTTTCTTCTTCTTGGGTCTTCCCTGCTTGGAGTCACCGGGCTCCCGGGAGGCCCTGGCCGGGGAGCTGGGCTTGGCCACGAGTGTCCCCCCGGGACCCTTGGGGGACTGCCCAAGGTCCTCCACGTCATACTGCACTGCCATCTCCTTGGTCTCCCGCAGGCCGCCCTCCTCAGCGTCCTGGCTCTCCCTGGAGCCTGGCTGCCCGGGGGCCTTGCTCTCGGGGCCCGCCTGGGATCTCGGAGGGCTGGTGGTGACGGGCACGTCAGGCGGAGCTGCGGCGGCATCATCATCCGAGTCTGAGAACCTGGCGTCGCAGCCAGCAAAGGGGTCGCAGGGCTTCTTGAGGGCGGGCGTGTAGGGTTCACTACCCCGGGAGCCCCTGGGCCTCTTGGGGGCCCTGTCGTCCTTGGAACTGGCCCTGCTGAGCAGCCGGGCGGAGAAGTTGGACAGTGGGTCGTACTCCAGGTCCGTGGACGGCTTGGAGTCGTCCAACACGTACTTGCTGCTGGGGACGGGGCGGCCGTATCGCTGGGGCTGGCTCACAGCCTTGGGGACGTACTCCAGGGTGCTGCCACCCCCTCCGCCATGGCCCTGCGCCCGATCCAGAGAGGCCAGCGAGTACTTGCTGCCTGCCTCGGCGGCGGCGGCCAGAGGAGTGGGCTGGTAGCTGGCATCAGGGCTTAGGAGGCCAGGGCGGCCACCAGGGTTGTAATCGAAGGACAGTGGAAAGGCGTCCTCGTCCAGGCCAGCGGCAGGGCAAGCGGCAGGGCCTCGGGGCGCCACGGCGGGGGCCTCGGCGGAGCTGTGCTCTCGGGCCGTCTCCAGGAGCTCCTGGTACCGCCGCTGCTCGAGCTCCACCTCCGAGCGCACGGCCTCAATGGCCTGATTGACCAGCTCCAGCTCCAGGATGTCCGAGCGGGGCTCATCCCCTCTGACCAGGGCTCCATTCTCCCTCTGCACAGGCGGCTTGGGCAGCTCAGGGTTGTACGGATCATAACCAAGCCCTGAAACGGGAAGTGGGAGAAAAGAGCAGTGAGTGGGCCCATTTAGGCACAGGCGGACGAGCCAGCACTGGCCACTGCCTCAGTCTGGGCCTCACCCCCAAGGCCAGCAGGGGAAGAGGCGTCGGACCAGCAGAGAACCAGAACCAACTGGGGGCCGGGCCTCCGGCAAAGCCCCAGGGACGATCTGCCAGCAGGTCGAGGTTTCCGGCGCGTGCCCCACTCCCCATGCAGGACCTATCCTGCATCGACTGACAGGCGCAGTGAGGAAGCAGAACCGGGCCCCCAAGGCACGGCCACTTGGTCCCCAGACCTCCCAGCACGGGTCGTCCAACCGGCACAACGGAGCGGATGGAGACTTGACAGCCTGGACAAGTGCAGCCCGGGAGCGAGGGCGAGAATGGGAGTCCGTGGGCCCAGCCCACAGCGAAGCCACAGCAGGCTACTTCCTGTAGGCCGGAGCTGGGACGGTGTGCACGGAGGGCCTGCCAGCCGGGCAGGGCACAGACGCGGCCCTGGGCGGGGCAGGAATGTGCAGGGCTCCCCAGGGTCAGGGCCTGGGTAAGCGGGGAGCAGAGGGCCACCCCTGAGGTGTCCCCTGTAGGACTCCCTACAGTGAAGTCCACGGGGCTGTGCACATGCCGGAACACGGACGCCCACCGCTAGGTAGCCCCACAATGCTCTCAAGGAACAGGTGAGGCAGAAGGCTCCCCACGCCACGGTCCCACGGTATAAAAAAGGAGAAGTATTGGGCACCTGGGTGGCTCAGTTGGTTAAGTGACTGCCTTTGGCTCGGGTCATGATCCTGGAGTCCCGGGATCGAGTCCCGCATTGGGCTCCCTGCTCAGCAGGGAGTCTGCTTCTCCCTCTGACCCTCCCCCCTCTCGTGCTCTCTGTATCTCATTCTCTCTTGCAAATAAATAAAATTTAAAAAAAATAAAAATAAAAAATTAAAAAAATTAAAAAAAAAGGAGAAGTATTGTATGTTCAAATCTCATTCTAACACCAAATGGGGTGGACAGCAAAGCCTACGTCCTCTTAATGTTGTTGTTGTTTAAAAGTTTATTATTGTTTTCTTAGTAACCTCTACACCAGACACGGAGCTTGAACTCACGACTCTGAGATCAGGAGGCGCACGCTCTTCCTATGGAGCCGGCCTGCTGTCCTGACCTTGTAATGTTTACGTTGACCTGAAGAGTCCCCACCTCCACCAGATCATGATCCCACCAGCGGCTGTGGGATAGATAATTCCGGTTAGGTACCGCGTTCCAGGGCCTGTGCTCTGAGCCCCGCACAACCAAAGAAACCACTGTCTGCACAAAACTCCTAGGAGACTCTCACGTACAGACAGAAGGACAGAAGCTAAATAAAACATGAACAAACAAAGCCCAATGTTCCAAGAAAGGAATAACATACCATATGCAAATATACTACGTTCAAATATTCCAGAATTTAAAGACCTCATCATGAGAAATCCTGTCTGAAATTTTATTTTAAAGACTTTATTTATCTGAGAGAGAGTGAAAGCACAAGCGAGGTGATGGGCAGAGGAAGGAGCAGGCTTCCCACCGAGCAGGGAGCCCGACATGGGACTCGATCCCTAGACTCCAGGATCATGACCTGAGCTGAAGGCAGACGCTTAACCAACCAAGCTACCCAGGCACTCTCCTATCTGAAATTTTAAAATCTGTTTAAAAAAAAAAAAAAACCTAATGTATAAACTTTTTTTTTTTTTTCACAATTTCATTTATTTGACAGCATGAGCACGCGCACAAGCAGGGGGAGCGGCAGAAGGAGGAGGAGGCAGAGGAAGGAGGCAGACGGAGAGGGAGAAGCAGACTCCCCGCTGAGCCGGGAGCCCGATGCACGACTTGATCCCAGGACCCTGGGATCATTACCTGAGCCGAAGGAAGATGCTGACTGAGCCACCCAGGCGCCCACGTATGAACTTTTCAAATCACTAAGTTGTATGCCTGAAACTAATATAACATTGTGTGTCAACTATATTCAAATAACAATTCTTTAGAAGTCCTATCAGAGATGATTCTAGAGAGTCCTGAAAGAGAACCTGGCTAGATCTCCTGCCCTGCAGTTGGCAGAGTAACAGCTGCGTCTCCCCTGGAACCTCCAGAAGGAGCCAGCCCTGCCCACACCCAGCGTTAGCCCAGGGGGACATATTCTGTGGACCTCTGTCCTCCAGAACTGTCAGATGAGGAGACTGTTGTCTTAAGGCACCCAGGCTGCGGTGACGCGTTTCTGTAGCCCCAGGACACTCCCAGCAACATTGCGGAGCGAGAGCACAGGGTAAAGAAAATCGTGGCTGGCCACCAGCCTTCAGGACAGGAGGCTTTGCAGGGCCTGGTGGTTGGGCCTCTGCCTGGGGCCCGAGGGAAGGAAGGGATCATTGTGGGTGTGTTGTCTGGCATTTAACCTGGAATCTAGGTTTTGATTGTATTTAGAAGAAGTGATGCTTCAGACCACCAAGGAGCGCCAGGACTGTGGGTCCGAGCCAGGGAGGCAAAGTCCAACACCCACCACCACCGAGCTGGGGCCCTGGGGGGGGGCGGTCAGTTCGTGCCCCCTCTCACAGCTGAAAACTCCCGGATATGGGGTGGGGAGCCCGGGGACAGAACGCACATCCACCCCTGGTCAGAGGTGGAGGGCCACCCTCCCTGCCCACCCTGACCCACAACCAGTCCGAAGGCACCAATGGGAGACCCCCTCCAGCTCAACTCCGCCTGAGTAAACAGAGAGGAGCCAATGCCTCAGAAGTCCTGGCTGCCAGGAGAGAGAGGCCCAGACAGGCCACAAGCTGGGGGGGGCACTTACCAGGCATGTCCACTGAGGGGCTTGACTGGCTGATCTCAAGGGGACATCCAGCCCAGCCCCCCTCATGGGAATACCCCTCCCCCAGAGGCTGGTTGGGGATGAACAGATGGGGATCTTTCCCTACCCCTCACCAGGGAGAAGGGCTACTAACAATATGCACATCTGGGGGCACCTGGGTGGCTCAGTCAGTTAAGCATCTGCCTTCAGCTCAGGTCATGATCTTAGGGTCCTGGGATCGAGCCCCGCATCGGGCTCCCTGCTCAGCGGGGAGTCTGCTTCTCCCTCTGCCTCTCTGCCCCTCCCCCCTGCTCATGCTGGTGCGCGCGCTCTAATAATAAATAAGTACGTACATACATATGTATAAACATACATACGTACAACAATGTGCACACCAGCCAGGAAGGAGCCCCTCAGCCCTGCTTCAAAGTAATGAGGTCAGAGTTTGGACCTCAGGCCACCTCACGTTTTGAAAGGGAGGGTTTTCCCCAAAGTCAATCTGTGCTTAGGTGGAGACCCCAAGGGAGGGAGAGAGGAGGGCCTGCAGAGGCCCGAAGGCTGCCTTGTTAACTCGGGGGGAGTGGGAGGATCTGAGGCAGAGGCGCGAGGAGGAAGGCTGTCTTTTTCCCACCCCAGGGCCTGTAGCGGCATCCTAAGGGCAGCCCCACCGCTCCACCCCCACTAGCCTCAAGTAGCCTGGCCTCTCAGATGGGAAGGGGTCCCAGCAGCTCAGACCCTGAAGGGGCTGCAGCTCCTGGCTGAGCCCAGTCCAAGCACCCGGCCCCTTGATATGAGCATCCCCGAAGCTCTGCCCACGTGGAGCGTTTTCAGCCCCCGCTGGAGGCTGCCTCCCCAGCCACAAAGCCGAAGAAACCGCCCTCAGTGGGCCTAAGAAGGTCAAGGCCAACCCCTGCCCCTGAGGCCTCAGGTCCCCCATGGTACCATGCGACACGGTCAGCAGCCTGAGGGGCTCCAGACAGGTCTGGAAGCTTCCAGCATAGCTGCCAGGAACTCTGTTACAACCTTGTGGCTTAAAAGTGAGCACACAGGGCCCAGAGTTTGGTCCCTGCAGACAGAGGCCCGCTGAGCCCCAGCCAAGGTTACCTGAGGCTTCTAGGGGGGACCTTCCTGGCACCTAGCCCCTGCCCTACCCTGCTTCGGAGGGCCAGGACCTCACTGGGCCTATTGGAACTGAGAAGCTCCCCAAGAAAATGTTTTACAAGTGGCAGGGTGCCCCAGGGACGCTGCCCACCGGCCCGTGGGAGCACATCAGAAGGCTCTGGGTAGGTGGCACCCAGAGAGCTCAGGAAGGACCATGGGGCACCCTGGAAGGCACCTTCTAATTATCAAGGAATTCCATTTGGATGGAAGCCAAGGGGCAGTTCCCTCGGGGGTTTGCACCTGGTAAGCACGCATTCGGTAAACAAGACTAATTAGGCTGTTTTTTGGAAAAGGAAAACGTCACCAAATACCCCTTCCCATACCCACACCCTACCGCCAGCCCACCTAGGCCCAGCCTTCCCCTCAGGCGTTTGAGCCTTGGTTCTGTGCCCACGAAGGCCGCACACCCACCAGGACCTGCCCTGCTGAAGGAGAGAGCTGCCCTCCCCTGGCTCTGGCGTCCTGCCACTCTTTCTGATGGCCCACTTCTGGGACAGGCTTCCAGCACGGTGGATACCAGGTCTGCTTCCCCGACCCCACAAGGAAAGGCCGAACCCCCACTGTGCGGGGCCATGGGTCCCTGAGTGCAAAAACCCATCCGGAGCCGGGGAAGGGTCACTGTGGAGACCACAAGGGGCTGAGTGGGCCACAGACAGGGCGGCGCTGCTTCCTGAGTCCTGGGCAGCCGCCTCCAATCCCTCCCAACCTCCCCTCTGCCGGGAAACACCCTATCCTGGGCCCCATCTGTGCCTCTGTGCCCCTGCTCCCACCGCACCCCGGCTCCAGAAAATGCCACGCACCCTCCCACAAAGGCATGTGGAATTAACAAGACAGCCAAGCACGGAGGCCCCACTGGGGAGGTCCTCCAGCCCCACCATGAACCCCAGGAGGCACTCAGGCCTTCCCTCACAATCGTCCTGCCCCGAGTCTGCCCATTCCACAGATAAGGAGGCCGAGCCCTGGCCGGCCAGGCTGCTCCCTAAGCTTCACGCAGCCGGTGAGAGGGCTGACCGCAG